ATTCCATTGTGTATAGATACCACATTTTCTTAATCCATTCGTCAGTGCTGGGGCATCTTGGCTGTTTCCATAACTTGGCTATTGTGAATAGAGGCACTGACATTTGTATAGGTACACTGTATCTAGTTATTTTCATGATTTTGGACTTACATGTTGCTGTTTGTTCTTCCAGACAAAAAGTCTCATTATTTTTAGTTTATCCTTAAATGCTAGCTCACCCACCCAATCTTTTTTTTTTTTTTGCAGTACTGGAGTTTGAACTCAGGCCTACACTTTGAGCCACTCCACCATCCCTTTTCTGTGATGGTTTTTTTCGAGACAGGGTCTCCTGAACTGTTTGCTGGGACTGGCTTTGAACTGAAACACTCTTGATCTCTGCCTCCTGAGTAGCTATGATTACAGGTTTGAGCTACTGTTGCCCAGCTCCAATCTTAATTTATTGACTTTTACCAGGTACATGCTACCACCAAATAGTCTTAACATTAGGCAAGCACAAATGCCTGTTGTGTATCACTGACTATGATCAAGTTTGTTTTTTGTTTTTTGCCAATACAGCAGCTTTTTAATTTAATTTTGTTTTATTTTATCTTTTTGGTGGCAGTGGGATTTGAACTGAGGGCTTGGTGCTTGCTAGGCAGGTGCTCTACTGCTTGATGTACCTGATGAAGTAAGTGAAATAGATAAAATACCCTTTCTACAAATGAAGATTTGTAAGATGATCATTTTATGTGGCTTGCTTCTTAAGACTATTTGTTGGTAGGATATGTCCACTATTCCTGGTAAGGGTAAATAAATTAAGGTCAGGTGAGCTACCATTTGAGGATAAACCAAGAATAGTGACACTTGTGTGAAAGAACAAAGGAATATGATCTAAATCCAAAGTTATGAAAAGACTAACTAGAAAAGGTTTACATGCATTTACTAACTATATCCTCACTGTGTTAAAAACTAAGATTGCCTCTGGAAGATTGTCTTGAGTTACAAATAAAGGTACTTCTTTACATGGTATGAAGTACTTTCAGAACCATTGATTACCCTAGGAAGGAGTATAAGCCAGATTTACTATGAAGATATTAAAATAGTGGCAGGTTTAAAAATCATTTAGCATTAGTAATATTTGAGTACTTTGGTCCTTGGCTTGGGCATTGAGGGATACATTGGCAAATAAAAGGTACAAAAGTCTTTACCTTTTTGGAAATTAATGTTATTGAATGAGTTGGAGGAAACACAACAAATAGGTAAGTCACACATATAGTGTGTTGGATGGTAATAAGTGCATGAAGAAAAAGCATAGAAGGAGAAAGGCAATAAGAGGAGCTGGCGTGTTTGCAGCCAGTTGAGTGTTGCAATTTAAAATATGATTATCAAGGTGACATTGGGCAAAGACCTACAGGAGGTGTAGATAGCATGGTGATTAGGGTTGTCAAGGGATAATAGGAGGTGAAGTTGGGGGCAGGTACACAGGGCACGTGGACTGTACAGGTCAGGATTCTGTGGATTGTTGTAGTGATTTTGACTTTATTGATTAATTGATTGTTTGATTTATTGATGGGACTGGAGTTTGAACTCAGGTCTCACACTTGCAAAGCAGATGCTCTATTGCTTGATCTATACCTACAGTCCTTGATGTTTATTTTGAAGGAGATGAGAAGCCACTGCTGGGGTCTTTGAGGAAGGTAATAATGTGATTTGTGATTTAAGGTTTAAAGGATAATTCTGGCTGCTGTGTAGGATGGGGCAGGGAGTGGCATATCATTTGGGAATGGAAGACTTTCAGTATAGAATCCCCGCTTTTTTGAAGTTGACATTAGAGAAGAAAAACAGTCTCTTGATGACTATTGGTATAAATCTTTTAATTGAAAATAGCATTTCAATGCTGGTCCGTATTGGTTACATTTGATTTTTTTTTGACATTGCCATCTTAAGTGCTAACACAAACTGTATGGTTTGATTCTTCAGATGGCCGCCAGGAGCGGGTCATGTTTGACAAAATTACATCTCGAATTCAGAAGCTTTGTTATGGACTCAATATGGACTTTGTTGATCCTGTAAGTAAATATGGTTTATGTGTTCATAAGTCAAATATGGTTATTGCTTCATGTAATTCTTTCTACTTGCCTCTTACCTCTGGCCCTTCACTTACCTGATGTACTTTGGTGGTCTGGCTGTGACCTTGGTTATAAAATGTGAATTTACCACTTCAAACTTTTTCTTAATTTTGGTTCTGTCCTGTGAATTTTTGCTTTTCAGAGAACCATGAACATAAGCAAAGAGGAAGACTTGACATTAACATCTGCTATCAGAAGTTTTCTTCAGGGACTCATACTTGCTTGTTTTTATTATCTAATTGCAAAATTAACATTTGTTGTAGCAATGATAAAAAAATGCAGAAAAAGGAAGACAGTAAACATTTCCAGTTACACAACCTAGAGAGAGAAGTATTGTTAATATTTTGCGTCTTTACCTTTTTCCTTTAAATTGGAATTATACTCTACAAATTGTACATTGTTTTGCAGTCTAATTTTTTTTTTAACTTTGTAACCTATTATGGGCATTTTTCCCATGCTGTTGCAGTTTTTTGTGTGTGTGTGTGGCACTGGTGTTTGAACTCAGGGCTTAATGCTTAAAAAATATGGAACATTTCATGAATTTGTGTATCATCCTTGCACCGGGGCCATGCTAATCTTCTGTATCATTCCAATTTTAGTACATGTACTGCCATAGCCAGCACTGAAATTTGCTTTTTTAATGTAGAAAGAATATATGTAAGTAATAAATGTAGACTAAGAAGTTGTCTCTTAGATTTCATGGACAATATTTAAATTAAGGAGTAAGCAAGTTACTTTTCTCCTTATCTTTTGTAACCCCACTGCTCTAGACCTCAATCATCCCTCATCTGGATAATGGTCTTGGAAGAGTCCTCCTAGCCTTCTCTGAACTTGCTAACTTCCAATCTGTCTTCCATGTGATTTCTGAAATGAGAATCTCTAAGAAACCTTTTTCCAAACCCACCAGTATTGACCCAGCCTTATTTAGGTATTTTGTCTGTCTTATTGTAACACCAGGGCTCCCCTTATAGCTTTAATCACATAGTATGGATACTAATTACATGCCTCTGTCATCTCCTAGAATTAAGGATGGGTTGTGTCTTTTCCTTACGATTAAGTACGTGGTAAATGTTTTAGTTGACCAAAGTGAAAAAGTAGTTTTATATAGCTTTAAAGTATAGTTATTACAGGGCTCAAGAGGTAGAACACCTGCCTACACACACACACACACACACACACACACACACACACAGACATTTACTATAAATTCTTTTTTTATATTTAGGACTTATAGACAACAATTAAAATAGTAGAATGTCAAACTTCATCCGAGAAGCATCCAAGCTGGGTATGGTGGTCCATGCCTGTAATCTTAGCACTTGGGAAGGTAAGGCAGAAGGATCATGAGTTCAAGGCCAGCTTGGGCAAAAAAAAGGAAAGTTCACAGAGAGAAGGAGATTCATTTGTTTAAGTTAATCAGAGTCCAGAGAGAAAAACCTATGTCTCTTGACGTCTCATCTAATACTCTGTTTCTGAGTACAGGGATGTAGTAGCAGACTCCAGCTTCCCAGGGTGGATTCTGTTGAAAAAGTCTGGATGCTGTTAGATCTGGCACAGTTAGTGTACAGGTGTTACCTTATTCTGAATTCTAATTACGCTGTGCATTACCAGAAGTTATCTAGAAGACTTCACTACTTTTATACTTAACATTACTTCTCTGCTGATTCTGGGAAGAAAGTGTTCAGGAACAACTTGGGGTTAGCTGTAATATTATTAGAATAGACTACAAACTATTACAACACACACGTACATACATACACAGAGGACGGAGGGAGATGTACTTTGGGTAGCTGGGAAATGCATTCATTTTTTATTGGATCAAGTTATTTATAAAAGATTAGTAAACATATACACACAACTTGGAATTTATTTTTCTAATAATGTATGGGAATAATTTGTGCATTGTGTGTTTAAAAGTGGAACCTCTTATAATACAGTGTTTTTATTAACTTATTTTTCCCTTTTTTTCAGTAAGGGATTTGAACTCAGGGTCTTGCATTTGCTAGGCAGGTGTTCTACCACTTTATTAACATTTTTTATTAGCATATATTAATCATTCAAAAAGGTTTAATTGTGATACTTGCATATGTGCATTTAATGTACTTTGATCATATTCACCCTATTACTCTTATTTCCCTTGCAGTGAGGTTTAATGGTATTTGGAGCTAGAAGACATGGACAGTAATACAGCTTTAGAATCTTGAGCCTCAGGTTCTTCATGTAGAGTGGTGATGGTAATAATACCCACCTCATAAGATGATTATGAAATGTCAGAGATTGCAAAAGTTGTAGCCAGGTGCAGTGGCTCAAGCCTATAATCCTGGCTACTTGGGAGATAGAGATTGGGAGCATTGCTGTTATAGGCCAACCCCAGGCAAAAAGTTCTCAATATTCCATCTCAGCCAATAAAAGCTGGGCATAGTGACTCAACTAAACAGGAATCATAAACAGGAGTATCAAGGTCAAAAAAAAATAAGGCAGAACTGGAGGTGTAGCTCAAGGAAGCTCAAAGCAGAGTACAAATCCTAATACCAACCCCCGCCACCCGCCAAAAAAAATCCCAAAGCACAAAGGGGCTAAATCCAAGTGGTTTAGCCTGCCGTGAGTTTAACCTCCTGTACTGCAAAAATTAAAAAAAAAGAAGTTGAAATGCTTTCTAATTTGTGAAGTGCAAAAGAAAGTAGTTATTATTATTTTGAACCCAAGACCTCACATGCTAGGCAAGCACTGAGCTGTTTCCCCCGCCTGAGAGTAGTCATTATTAGATGACACAGCCCCAACCCTAATTAATACCTTCATCTCCTTTAGTTGAAATGATTAAAATTTGACTCATTTGCTTTCCTGTACTTGTTCTTAGGTAAAATTGGGATAAATTGGATAAGTATGGAGCTAGAGTTCTGATCATACAGGGAGAATTTGAATGAAGATGAGAAATACTTATAGAATTATTGCTGTTTTTAGCTATTTCCTTGAGTCTGTTAATCTTTTAAAAAGCTAGACAGATTTTTTTTTTTTTAAAGTGGCACTTTTTTTTAAATTTGGGCAGTACTGGGGTCTGAACTCAAGGCTTCACACTTGCCAGGCATGTGCTTTACTGCTTGAGCCACACTCCTAGGCCTTGTATATGTAGTATATATTTACTGGCAGTTCTGTTGGTTTATGAATTCTCATTACCAACTTTCCCACATTCTGAAAGATAATTTTTCAGAAAAGAAAGTTGTCTATATTACAGTACAAATTTGATTGTTTTCTTAATTACTCTTTTAAGGAAGCTGTTGTTTCTTGGGAAAGCTCAAGTAACTCTTGGTTTTATTTTTATAGGCGCAGATCACCATGAAGGTAATACAAGGCTTATACAGTGGGGTCACCACAGTGGAACTAGATACTTTGGCTGCTGAAACAGCTGCGACCTTGACTACCAAGCATCCTGACTATGCCATCTTGGCAGCAAGGATTGCAGTCTCTAATTTGCACAAAGAAACAAAGAAAGTGTTCAGTGGTGAGTCTGGGGTGAAAAAGTTAGAATTTAGTATCCTTAGAAAGTTAATAAGGGTAAAATTATATGAATTTCAAACATTATGTCTTATTTTAAAAATCAAAGTGTACTAGTTACAGTGTTAGAGAGACAACTACACTTGTTTCTACATGCTTTTGACTTGTTGCATGGCAAAATTAATGAATGGATCCTTGTTCTTTACACTTTTCTGTTTTCTCATTGTTTTTTTTTTTGGTGACACTAGGGTTTGAATTTAGGGCTTTGCACTTACTAGGCAGGTACTCTTTTGCTTGGGCCATGCCTCTAGCCCTTTTTTCTCAGATTATTTTTGAGATAAGGTCTCACTTTTTACCTAGGATAGCTTGGACTATGATTCTTATATTTACACTTCTTGCTATAGAAAGAAGGATGACAGGTGCACACCACCTACCTTTTTTCCCATTGATGGGGGAAGGGAGGAGTTTCTCATGAACTTTTTTTTACCCCCAGGCTAGCCTTGAATGGTGATCCCTTCTGGTCTCAACTTCCCAAGTAGCTAGGATTATGGGCAAGAGCCATCAGCACCTGTTCTCTTCTTTTAAAACTCCTCTTTAGGCAGTTGGTGGTGGTGTGGTTGGAAAAATGAATATTTATTGACAAGTTCTGGGGTTAAACAAAATGCTACAGTTGATCTTTTGTTACCATCAGAAAACACTTCATTTCCTCACTCCCTTTTTACAGCTCAAGGGATGTGGGGCAAAGGAAGGTTAAATATATTTTGTTCAGAATGTAAGAAACCAGCTGACAAACCAAGATTAGAAATTTTTGTCTCTCAATGCCAGATCTATTATGTGAGTCCTCAAATGTATCCTTTCTCTTCAGTAGATTTATTGTGACAATCACATTTTTACCGAAATTCATCTTCCCAATCAAAATGTGTGTGTGTTTTTTTATGTAAATACAGAGGGCCAAGTACTGCTATGAAGTCTTAAAGAACAGTGGAGTAAGAGAGCTTACTAAATGTGTATTTATAGAAATGAACTACTTTGGATGACGGATTCTGAGTTTTAGATTGAGTTTCTGTTCCCATAGAATTAAAAAAATTGGTGAGAAGAGATTAATAATTTCTGCATTTCATTATGTCCAACCAGTAATTCTCAATGGGGTATCAGAATCATCTGCCAGTCTTTTAAGTTATAAGAGCTTATATTTATTCTGACTCTGGAAGATTGTTTTCCTGTATGAAGTATTATTATATATTTATCCAACAAGGATATGTTTATTGAGCACTTTCTATGCTAGCCACAGAAGTGGATTGGTATGAAAGAAGTGGATTGGTATCAGCTGTTAAGTGCTTTTGACATTTATTTTATTTTATTTTAGATGTGATGGAGGACCTTTCTAATTACATAAATCCACACAATGGCAAACATTCTCCTATGGTGGCCAAGTCAACCCTGGATATTGTTTTGGCCAATAAAGATGTATGTACATTTTTCTGGTGGAAAGTTTTTGATAGATTTTTTTAAATAACATACACATTTAAGAAATATTTAAACATTACAAAAGGTGTAGGTAAAAATAAGTGATCTGTTGTGCTCTGAATCCTGATTTTCCTGTGTAAAACTAACTTCATTTTATCATTTTTAAATGTGTTTTTCCAGCACTGTTCTGTATAAACACATGTATGTGTGTATAGCATATTCTGCATACTCTTCTCACTGATGCTGTTTTCACTTACAGCTATACCTTAGAGATTGTTCTACAGAAGCATTTATGAATTTACCCTGTTATTTGTAACAGTGGCATGACATTCCCTTTTATACATATATTATCATTGTACCTATAAGAATTCTATTGATTCTTATTTGTTTTCCATTTTTCACTGCAGTATCTTGTGTAGTAGATGCTTTGCCCATAGATTAATATATTGTAAGATAAATCCCTTAAGTGAAATTGCTGAGTTAGAGTATGTACATTCAGCATTTTGATAGATATTGCCACATCGATTCCCCAAAAGGTTGCTCAAGTTAAATTGTGAAAGATCTTGTTCAGCAACTCTTGAACTTTTAAAACTAGATCTCAGAAGACAGAAGGGAAAAGATGCATAGGTCTTGCTAGACTTTGTCCACACAGGATTTATTTGCCATGGTATCTGAATAGATGAGAATCTTTTTTTTTTTTTTGGTGGTGATGGTACTGAGGTTTGAACTCAGGGCCTCAAACTTGCTAGGCATGTACTCTGCCACTTGAGCCATTTCCCCAGCCCTAGAAACCAGTTTTAACATGGATAGTTAGTTGTCTCTCTCAATATGTATCTGTTGTTAAAGAGACTAACAGAAAACAGTTGTTCCTGTGTTGTTCATATGCACAATCTTGAGTGCAGCTTAAAAATAAAAATAACAGTGGCAAAATCTGTGTCTAAAATAGATAATGGAAAATAAGTGCATATTGAGAATAAAGTATATCAATTCTCCATTACTCATGCTAGGTCCGTACCTGTCTTCAGCAACAATAATGCCCTTAAAAATTTAAGAGAATGGGGAAGAAGGGCTTCACGTGGATTTTTTTCTAGCTTTTTGACATGGGTCATGATGCCAAAATACTGTTGGTAGTTTGAAATACTAACTCCATTTTTTTTCTTTTCAAAATGATTATTTAAACAGGCATAGTGGTATTCTTGTAATCCCAGCAATTGGGAGACTGAAGCAAGAGGATCATGAGTTCAAGGCAGCTTGGATTACATTCAAGACCCTGTCGGAAGAACTACAAAAAAAAAAACCCCAAAACCAAACTGTACCTAATTGCTTTTGTTTCCCTCTAAATGGCTTTGTAGTCTACAAAAACTTCTTAACAAGGACCAGTTCTATGAAATATTACTGTCACAATAGTAATTTGTTTAACTCCTGTTAAAGAACCATAAATTTTGAAAGTGTGTATACCTACTTTGTTGTCATTGCTTATTATACATGTGTTATATGCAATACAATAGCCATACCCCTTGCCTAACCATAGATGTACTAATCCTAGCCTAACCATAATCCTAACCCAAAACATAACCTTAGCACTAGACCTAAACATAGCCCTAGCCCTAGCCCTAATCCTAAACATAGCCGTAACCCTAACCCTAACCGTAATCCAACTCCTAATTCTAACCCTACCCTAATCTTAAACCTAACCTTAAACCTAACCCTAACCCTAACAATAACTGTACCACTGGCCCTAACCCTAGCTATAATCCTAGCCTTAGCCTAGCCCTAGCCCTAACCCTAACCCTAGACCTAGCCCTTAGCCCTAGCCCTAAACGTAACCCCAATCCTAAACTTAGCCCTAGACCTAGCCCTAAACCTAACCCTAACCCTAAACAGAAATATGAATTAGTAAATATGTCCTACCAATACTTTTGGCTGAACTAGCTTAAAACGTTTAAATATGGTAGTATAGTCACTTTATGTTTTTTTTCCATTTTTGATCAAAGATATGCTATAAACATAATAGGGGGAGTTTGGAAATCACATTTAATCCTACAATACAAAGTTCTCTTCTAGGTTTTTTTATTGTTTAATTATATATATATATGTTTTTCAGTAGTAGGGATGGAACCTAGGGCCTTGTGCACGCCAGGCAAGCACTCTACAACTTAGCTACATTCCCAGCCTATAGTCTTTTAATATGCATGATTTTAACCTAATTAGTATACTTGATTTATATACTGTTTCTTTCTCTCTCTTTTTTTTTTAATGTTAGAGCTTTTTCTTTTCTTCAGCAGTATGACTTAGTGTTGTCACTTTTGTATCCTGTGTCCATTTTACTCCTGGAGTCAGGGCTGAAAGATACCAGATTTTGTGAAAATAAGTCTAACTATATTAATTATGGCTTCTTTTCTATCCCTTTCACAGCGCCTGAATTCTGCTATTATCTATGACCGAGATTTCTCTTATAATTACTTTGGCTTTAAGGTAAATAAATAGTGGATTTCAAATAAGTGGAGATTCCTCCCTAAATCAGGAAATACAGGAATTTATTTATGTTTTAATGATACAGTTATAATGGCAGTAAGTTGTTGGGAGTTGGGATGGACCTGGTGATTAGTGGGGTTAAGGTAGTGGTAGTGGTTTGAATTAAGGCAAAAATGACTTATCCATTTATAGTTTTTATAAATTGTCTTAATACTACTTTTGAATTACCTGAGAAATTATGCAGATAAATGTTCAGACTCATCCCATATTGTTGTACTACTTTGCAACAGCTATTTATTGAATCCCTACTATGTGGCAAGTATAAGTATTTTTGTGTTGATAATGTAATGCAGTGTAGTGACTGAGAATATGATGTTGGTGTCAGATCACTTGGATTCAAATCTCTGCCTTATTTCTTTCTTTCTTTTGTTTTATGGTATTGAGGTTTGAACTCAGGGCCTTGCATTTGCTAGGCAGGCACTCTACCACTTGAGCCACTCCACCAGTCCTCTGCCCTATTTCTTATTAACTTGTTTAATCTCTTTGTGCTTTAGAATTCCTCATCTTTACAGTGGGTATAATAAAACATTTCAATAAAAATTCCATTGAATATTAAATATGTGTTGCTTAAACTAGTGTCTAGCTTGTTTTAAGCACTTTATAAGTATTAGCTAAGATGAATATTTGTGATGATGATAATATTACTAATGATGATTACTGCAACTTATGGAATTAATATATATAAAAATGGCTTTTTCTAGAAATTTTCATGCAATCTTTGCCAAAACAAGATAGCCAATTGATAGTGTTCTAGACTGAAGCTAGGAAGAGTAAATGTGCTATTCTTTTCACTTAAACTTATGTAAAAATTGAGAAGATTTAAACAGATCACTGTACTGTGAATTATATATTCACTGTCTCTTTAAAATGCTCAAAATTTTTTGACTTTTCTAGACACTGGAGCGTTCCTATTTGTTGAAGATCAATGGAAAAGGTAAGAAATGAAAATGTGTCATATTTTCTCTTCATGATATTGAATATAGCATGTTGCATTATTATTAGCTTTAATATTTTTTGTTGTTTGTTTTCTTGAGGTGGTGGGCATTGAACTCAGGGCTTTGTGCATACTAGGCAAGCGTGCTACTGCTGGGACTACATCACCAGGCTCTAGCCTTAACATTTGTATTTAGACTTTAAATAACATTTTGAACTTTAGGTCTAGTTTATTCATAATTGTCTTGATTATTCATATAAAATTCTTCTGTTTATTTTGATGTTGTTTTTATTCAAGTATGTTTTAGCATTGTTTTTCTGGCATGTTCGAAAACCCTTGTTTTGTTCATAGTGGCTGAAAGACCACAACACATGTTGATGAGGGTATCTGTGGGGATTCACAAAGAAGACATTGAGGCTGCCATTGAAACATATAACCTTCTTTCTGAGAAGTGGTTTACTCACGCGTCTCCTACTCTCTTCAATGCTGGTACCAACCGCCCACAACTTTCGAGGTATGTGTCATGTATAGCTACTTTTAATGTTCTGAAATGGTTTTGACTAGGAGAATAATAAGAAATTAGGTGGTTCATCACATAAAAAAATAAAGACTTAATTACTGCCTGCTGTGATTAAATGAGATTTGCATTCTGGAATGATATCCAATTGCAGAATTGGAAGAAGGCAAAAGCTGATGGTGAAAGTTCTCTGAAATTGATTATGGTGGTGGTTGTACAACTCTGGGTAATATATTTCAAATAGGGAGTTGTATTATATGTAAATTATATTTAATTAAATCTCTTAAAAAAAAAACAGTAAGTTTGGGGGTGTAGCTTAGTGGTAGAGTATGTGTTTAACATGTACGAGGCCCTGGGTTCAATCCTCAGCACCACCAAGAGGAAAAAAAAAGTAAAATATGCCATTAACAAGTTGGTTTATCTTGAGAATTGGAGGATATGCCAATATCAAAAAATATATTAATATAATCCATTGCTTCAACATTTACATAATGTTCTTTTATAACAAAATACTTTATCAAAATAAGTATAGAAAATAACTTCCTTAATGTGGTAAAAGGTACCCACTAAAAATATAGATCTATTGGCTGCTTTTTCAACAGAGTAGGCAAAAACTTGAGACTGTATTGGAAAAATAACTAAAGGATGAAAAGGGCTGGGGCGTGGTTCAAGTGTTAGAGCTCTTACCTAGCATAGGCACAGGTACTGTGTTCAAACCCCAATACTGCCCAAAAAAAGAGAAAAAATATTAGATCTCCCTTCTTCATGCCATATACAAGAAATAAATTTTTTTAAAAGTCTGAATATGAAAAATGAAAGTAAAGTCTTTAGAAGAGCATATAAAGAAAATAGATAATCTTCTCAACTTTTTATTATGAATTTCCAACATACAGAGAAGTTTAAAGAAAAGGACATA